TTAACACACTTTCAGGTGAATCAGCTTAATGAGAAAATTGATTAATCCCTTTAACGTGTTTGAATACAGTCGGATTTTTTAAAAGAAATAACTAATTTAAGGGTTTGGTAAGATTTTATTTTTTCTGTTAACTCCTAGTTGCCGGCTCGTTTTCAAAACGTTACTATCTCCGTTATTCTGTCCTCAATCCAATGGCGTCGATAAACAAGCCCCGGTTCAAATTTCACCCGGATAATTGAAGCTTAATTGATATTCAAATAATTTGATATCGCGCTTATAGTTTTAGTGGAACCATCTAAGGGCCACTCTGTGCATTATATCGATTTTTGGTTGATTTATTATGTCTACATTATGTGGCCTTGATTTAAGACTTTATTTAGATTGGGGAGAGATAATTTTTAATCTGTGAACTGACCACCAGGTTACTTGGATATACGAGTAGTCAAATTGGCGTTCAGTACCCACAGTGGTACGTTTCGTTTTGACGGATTACTTATCTATGTTTAGTTTAAATATCTCTTGCTGTTTCCTTGAAACGTAAGCAAGAAGGTAGGTTCTGTTACGCAAGATATATTTCGATAAATTGTTTTGGTATTCTGCTAATTTGCTCCTAAGCAAGTACCTATGATGTAGTACAAAGTACATTAATTAATTAAGCTTGCACATAAAATGCTTTCACAAACAGTTAAATACAAAATCTCCATTTTTATTGCGGTTCAAACGATCTCCTTTAAATTCGCGAATGTTTTGCGGCAAATAGACAATCGTGAGTTTTTATGTCCCCCACGAATGCCTTTTGTGATGGGGTTTCGCAAAATGCAATAATACCTAAGGTACGACTGACCGCTCCATTGTCCGGGACACAATGGACGCTTTTGTTCCTGTTTGTCTGCTGCGAACCCGCTTTTTAGGGCTCCTTAGGGATGTAAAAAGTTTGGACTGACGTGTGTCCCTTCTGTCAAAATGCACGCTTCTTTTGCGGTCAATTGTTGGGGATCCTTTAGATATTGTGACGTAGTTATATCATGCAATGACAATCTAATAGGTATGAATGAACATCGAAGAATAGATTACAGCCTGTGTTAAACAAACAGCATCGTAAAACTGTTATTACTGGACATAATAGAATCGGACTGCAATTTATAATAGATAAGTAAAAGATAAAAGCGTCCACCTACAAGGTGGACCGACGACATCGTAAAGGTAGCAGGGAAGCGCTGGACGCAGGCTAGGCACGCTACCAATCGATCAACATGGAAAGCATTGGGGAGGCCTATGTTCAGCAGTGGACGTCCTATGGCTGAAATGATGATGATGATGAAAAGATAAAAAGCTTAGAAAATAAAATGCCAGATTTGCAAAATGATAGATTGACAAAATCATATACAGGGTGTTAGGTAAATGGGTATATGAGCCGATACTAGCCCATGTTCATTCATCANGAAGAAGAAGAAGAACTCTGGTAATCGTTATTAACGACAGTAGCGGCACTGTTCTAGTTTTCATACAAGAACGATATTTATTCGCACTCGGGGTACTGTCCCTTTGAGTGACATTCGTGAAGACACCTAATTTCGATAACGCTTCGCTCTGTGTTTTTAGCGTAATTGAATCTGTGACAATATCAATGCCTGTAGACAATGTTACTTTCGTATTCGAACTCGGTTGCTTTTTGAATCTAGCGAAACGAATACGGAGAAATGATAACGAATTTAGAGGTAGAGAGCTGCGATCAAAAAACAATCACACTATCTTTCATGCGTGTCGGGTATGTTTTCAATCATATATCGCAACTATACGAGCTTTATTGCAGGGGTCGTAATTTCAGTGCTGCTGCGAGCGAGTTTGCACTTTATAATCAGTGGCCGAGATTAGCTATTTGTTTAGTGATCAAGGACAGCACTGGCTCTATGGCTAGTAGTCTAGTACCTAAGTAAGAGTTCCTAAGCTGAGGTGATGGTTTAAAACCGAGTACCTATATTGTTTTATGCGGTAGGTAGGCCTTGCTTAAGAAAATTCATGTAAAACGTCTTTATAAGAAGATGAAAACTCTTATATTAAAAGACAAGGTTGAATTCAAAACGATTTAAACAATTTAGGTATTTAATGTTTTAATTAGTAATTAATGCCATCAATCTGTACAAACTAATAGGTCACTGCAATCCATCAATACTGAAATGACATATCGGTCTGAAATACAACAATGAATTAATTTGATTTCAAATAAATTGACTGCACATATTATTTGACATACGTTGCTACTTCATTTCACATATTTTCTATAAAAGCGAAAAATCACTGATTCACTCATCACGAAATCTCAGAAACTACAAGTGCTAGGAGTCTCAAATGGGGGTTTCTTTTAGAACGTAGGTGCACACTAAAACGGTATTTTGCAAGGGGGTAAAACGGGTTCCACGCGTACGAAGTCGCGGGCGGCCTCTAGTTTCTTATATTTCATCCAGGATCGAAAAATAACTTATTTTGAAATATAATGCCGATGCATTACAAAATTAAACGCCAAATTCTAGTTGGCACATGAGATTTATTTGTTTAAGAAAAAGAGAAACAGCTCGTTCGGACTCGAACCTCCGACCTAATAAGTTCTTTTCCACTCGATAAACTCTTTAGGATTACACTTACAAGAGAATAACAACTATGTAAGCTAAGCTGGGAATTCAGGGGTGTAATAAAGCTTAAAAATACAGATAGGTATTTGCGAAAACCAACTTCAAGTCGCAATGAAAAGAAATGATTATTATGATATGTGGACTACAATATTACAGACGCGCGAAGAGGAAATATTCCCTGGCGTCTCAAAACTGGTGAGCTTCAGCGATATTTCTTTTAATTTGCTGGCATTATCATGGAAGTAGGTAACACGTTTTCTCACATTAAACACACATCTTTCGTACAATTCGTGAAAAGCCGTCTCTACGCTCGTTAAGTATTTTGAAACGAAAACTTTCACTTTGTTGTATAATGATATTATATCAGATTGCTCTAAGATATTTGCAGTTTTGTAAATAATTTAAGCTAACTGACATTGATTTTGTTTTTAAAAGATGTCGTTTTGAGGCCATTGTAAGGCCCAGAACAGACGGTGAAACGCAGTTGCAACGGAACTGCAACTTCTAGTTACTTTTGAGTTGCATCTAAGTTTCTGCCATAGCGTCCGTTGAGAGACCACACATGACGCGATCAGTATGGTCTCTCAACGGAATTTATAGCAGAAACTTAGATGCAACTCAAAAGTAACTAGAAATTGCAGTTTCGTTGCAGTTGCGTTTCACCGTGTGTTCTGGGCATAATAGTTACTTATTGTGATCAGTGACTGAAACATTTCAATCGTTGTTTCGATTTTCAATCTACAAATATATAAAGCTCGATTTCTTATATAAAATTGCTAATTTTCTTGTTTCCAATAAATACAAATTTTATTTTATTTGTTTATTTTTAGCGCGGTGTATAGAGATGAAAGGTTTGAGTTTGTTTTTAAGGGATAATCTAACGCGAAAAAATCAGCACGTGGATGAGATTTGGGGATAAAAACAAATTAAAAATATGTTTATCAATCTTCTGAAATGTGTTTGGACTTATCTCTAGAATAAGTAATTAATTTACAGTTGATTTAAGTACCGTTGATTTAAGATCCGTTATTGACTTGATTTGTAAGTTAATTAGGAACAATAATAACATGTTACTTATTGTGATATAATATGTATGTAATATCAGTATAAATAACTAAACCAAAGCACTCCATGTTGATATCTATCTATTTACTATGTTTATAGCGACCTGCACCCGACCATAATCAGGTCGTCCGTTCACCGGGCAAGCGCTACTAGGTCGTTTCACGGTGCGCTTCTCAGTGCGAGTTTTCCGCTTGAAAACCTGTTTTCATTAGGGCGCCGGCCATAGCCTCTTTGGATAACTTCTGAAGGCTAAGGCTATAAGCCTATAAAATGTAGGCAGCTAGTGCCGTCTTTTTCATACTATTATCCTAATTACATACTTCTAGTTTAATTTAAAAAAGAGATTTAACCGACAAAATCTCGATTTATAGCTGCAATTAAGGAACATACCTAGTACCGCATTTTCGTTTGTAATAATATGATATGTTAGTGCATAGACAGATAAAAGTCTATTCACAAGTAAATGTCATTTATATGATTGAATTTCATCTGAATTATTGCTCGTACACACGGCCACACTGTTAACTATCCATTTCCGTTTTTCTCTCGCTCTAATCAAATGGTGATTCTTTGCGATAGAACAAGATAACATGACTGGCAATGGGCAGTTAACACTGTTGCCGATAGTACGTCATAATAAAGTTCAGAAAGGAATTTACTACTTGATTGTACATTTTTCAGCATTAAACAATTAAAAATGACTTCATTCATTATAATTCTGATTAAATCAATATATTATGTTAGAACATGTTATTAACCATAGATCACAAAAACTAAAGGTTATTAACATTTCGTCAAAGTAGGTACATAAATTAAGATGTCTTTTCAAGTAAAGCTTCATTTTCAGAATCATTACGAAGCAAACAAGTAGGTTCATCATTACGTAAAGGCGGAATAATTTCATAAAAGCGGAAGTTAACGAACAATTAGCCAAAGAGAAAGTAATAATAAGCTAAGAGGATTTTTATTATCACTTAAGAATGGGATGGCTGTAGTTACTTTGAATGTGATACCTACTTATTATAATGGCGCCAGTGTAATGGTGCATATTCTAGGCTAAAATATTTCAGGTAATAATGATATTATAAACGCGGAAGTATCTTTGTCCGTTTTGCCATTTTGTTCAAGTTACTGAAAGCTTAATGAACTTTGATGTGGAGATAAAATGCAACTTACATTAAGTCCAGCAAGTTTGTGTGGGAAATTTTGCCAGGAATAGCAGTGATTGGTAAATAGTTAAAAGTTTAATCAAAAGTACCTATTATAAATTATTATAATAATAATATACNATTCATCATTCCGTCGCGTACCCTGCGGTGAACCGGTTGCGCGCACGCTTCACTCCGCACACTTGCCACACGTCATCTACGGCATCACAGAGTAGTTTGCGATTTAGAGTGCTCTCGCATAATGATAAACAGCACTTTTAATCAGCGTGATAACGTGGGCTTGGATCGAGGAGAGATGAGCATCGACGAATCCCTCATCGAGAAGGAAACTCCACCTGACTACGTGACCCAACGGAAGATGAAGCCGAAATCTGTGGCTGGTTACGACGAGTCCCTCATTGAAAAAGAATCACCACTTGACTGTGGGGCTAATAAGTTAAACCCGTGGTTGGCTTTTGCTCATGACATTCGTCAGGATATGCAGTTGTTTCAGAGCAAGATTATTGAGACCATGGAGGGCTGGTTTACCAAGTACGAGGAAAAGTTTTCGAAATTTTGTTGTGACCTTGATGATGTCAAAAAATCTATGCAGCACATGAGTGATCAATACGACATACTACATAAAAAATCCGAAGAAGCACTGCAACGTGTTAACGCCTTAGAAGGGAAAATAAAACCTCAAGATCTTCGTATTTCACAATTGGAATCAAAAATTGACCAAATGGAGCAACACAGTCGTATGTGCAATGTTGAGATCAGCAACATGCCTGAAAAGCGAGGCGAGAACCTAATGACAGTATTGGAGAAAATTGGCACGCTTTTGAAAAATCCAATATCGGCACAAGATATAGTGGCTGTACATCGTGTCCCCCGAGCAGACCCTCGGGGTTCAAGGCCAAAAAATATAATTGTGAAGTTTACAAACAGAGTGCTGCGTGACAACTTTATAGCCGCCGCACGACTAGCAAAAGGCATCAAAACTGATCAAATAAATGTAAATGGACCAGTACAAAACATCTACATAAATGAACATCTGACGCTGAAAAATAAGGAATTGTTTCGTGAGGCACGAGAAGCGGGGAAAAGGTGTGGTTACAGGTTTATGTGGATTAAACATGGAAATATACTCGTCCGTGCGAACGACACATCGCCGGTTGTCGCTATTCGGAACAGGGATGATCTGTCCAGGATTAAGCCACAGCATAATGGCTAGTTTCTTCATTTTGCTGCTCATTGGTGTTGTAATTCAGTGTCTAGTGCTCAAGGAACAAACCTACCTATATAATATTATCGCGTTGTGCTGCGCTGTCTGTGTCTTGCATTGCTCTGTGCAAACTTGTTTACGATCTTGTGAATCTATAGTGTTTTGTGCCTGCTCAAATTGTACTCGCATTGCATCGAATTTGCAGGCCTGGATGTTTATTATGTATTATTGCTTTCACGGCTATGATTGTGTACCAAAATCTACCTATACTTATTATCAATTGGCAGTGTTTGAGGGTGTATCTTGTATGATAATCAGCAATTGTAGTTGTTACCTATACGGCAATCACCGGTTAAATATTCGGCTGAGATCGTTATTGGATGGTAATAGAATACGTGTAATACTTTTAATTGCCCCAAATACAAAGGTAAGTTATATTAATCCATATTATGGCTTAAAATTGATAGTGTTATTCAGTGAATCTGTTGTCGTTTGCTCCACGAACAGTCATGATTTATTTTTTAGCGACCGACATTTTGCATTTTTCTTAACATTTCGACTATTGGAAATGAATAATATTTATTACTTTAAGGTGAACACTGTACTTTTTTCTTATCTTAATATAGTAAATTATATACATTTTTTCTATTGTTCTAAACATGGATAAAATATCTATATATTATCAGAACTGTAGGGGACTGAGAACGAAATTAAATACTTTATATGCTAATATACTGTCCGAATGTTATGACATAATAATTTTAACTGAAACCTGGTTGGTGCCTCAAATAAGTGACGGTGAATTCATTGACCCCCGGTACTGTGTATTCCGCTGTGATCGCGACCGCCTGGCTAGTGGAAAGTTGGACGGGGGCGGGGTTTTGATTGCGATAAGACGTGAACTCCAAGCGTCTCGGTGTTTATTCAATGTGCTGCAGCGGTCAGCATTAGTAACAGACGATGTACACATATCCGCACTCATTGACTATGTTACGGTAACAGTTGCATCGAGTAAGACCGGTATGAACCATTTAATATGTGGTTTTTACATACCTCCCAACCAGCCTCTTGCCACTTATCAATCATTTTTTGATATACTTCAGGATGTTATTTTATGCAATCAAGTTGACACATTTTGCATTGCGGGCGACTTAAACCTGCCTCACTTGAATTGGACTATTGTTACAGACGTTCGATACTTAAAACCATCGCTATGCAGTCTTAATACTCCGACTGAAAAATATTTTGTTAACTTTTTAGCTGTCGTAGGGGGTTATCAGTATAATAATTTGCCAAATAATAAGGGTCGTTACCTTGACTTACTTATTACTAATAGTGATGGGTGTCTGCTGGATCCTCCCGCCACCCCTATACTCCCTATAGATGAATCGCACCCTCCATTTCATGCTGCTCTTACCTTCAAGTTACCTTACAAGCCAATGCCTCGATCCTCTCAACCAAGGTTTTGTTTCATAGAAGGCGATTATATATCAATAAATAATGTTATTAATAACACTGATTGGGAACTACTTTTGACAAATCTGCCTATAGAAAATGCAGTTACCTTATTCTATGAGAAAATATATGAAATAATAAAAAATAATGTTCCTCAGCGTCTATCTAAGCCCAAAGAGTTTCCGGTATGGTTTTCACGACCCCTTATTCATGTATTTAGGAATAAGGAAAGAGCATGGGTTAAATGGAAAAAATATGGCAACAGGAGTGATTATGTGGAATTTAGCGATTATCGGTGTAGGTTCAAGGTGATGTCTAAAGAATGTTACTCTAAATACATAAATGGCGTGGAAGAGAGCCTACGTAATGATGTCAAGACATTTTGGAGATTCGTAAATAGTCGTAAGTCCAAATCAGGATTACCGAGCACCATGTTATATAGCGACGTACAATCGGACGACCCGGAGGGCATATGCAATCTATTCTCCCGTTTCTTTAGCTCAGTGTATGAGGAATCTTCGTTGGGTCGTTTAGATATTGACAACTTACCTACTGGTAGCAATGCCAATTGTGATATTTTATCTGAGATCAGTATTTCGTTGTCGGATATAGAGAGCGAACTCAAGCGACTGGATGTTACCAAAGGAGCCGGACCCGACGGCTTACCTCCCCTGTTCCTTAAATTAACTGCTAAAACCATCTGTAAACCACTATTTGTATTGTATAACTTGACTCTGCTTGAGGGTATAATTCCACTTGCCTGGAAGACTGCTAATATTACACCAGTTTTTAAAAGCGGTAGTAAGCGAGATGTTTCTAATTACCGACCTATCTCCTTATTGTCTGTTCTGTCTAAGGTCCTTGAACGCCTAGTACATAACATGGTGTACCCGATTGTGCATCGTTTAATAATTCCCGAACAACACGGATTCGTAAAGAAGAGATCAACTATTAGTAATTTACTTATTTATACAAACTTTCTTTTTGAACGCATGGACGCATGTGGACAAGTAGATGCAGTCTACACTGATTTCTGCAAGGCCTTTGACAAGGTGGATCATTTGCTGCTACTACATAAGCTTGCTTTTAATGGAATCAGGGGAAATTTACTACGTTGGTTTGCTTCATATGTCATGAATAGGACCCAAAGGGTCGTTGTAAACGGTTTCGCTTCAAACTCAATAATGGTGACTTCCGGCGTTCCTCAGGGCTCGATTCTTGGACCATTGCTCTTTGTGTTGTTTGTTAATGACATTGGTAACTGTTTCTTAAACTCAAATTTTCTTTTATACGCAGATGACCTAAAGGTCTATCATAGTATAGTTAATATTGATGACTGTAATAAATTGCAAGAGGACCTTAACCGGCTTTCTGAATATTGTATTAAAAACAAGCTTTGTCTTAGTCTTAACAAGTGTAAGAGCATCACTTTCACAAAAAAGGCCAATGTTGTTAAATGTCAGTATAGATTGTGTGGTGCACCTTTGGAACATGTCTCGGTGATGAAAGACTTGGGTATTGTTTTTGATTCTAAGTTGCACTTCGAAGATCATATTGAATACATTACCAACAAAGCATTTCAAATATACGGATTTGTCATAAGGACAGGTGTCTGTTTTAAATGTTAACATGGGCTAGTGTCGGCTCATATACCCATTTACCAAACACCCTGTATAAGCATGATCGCCCTTTCTAAAGGAGCTCTTCTGACATTCAATATCTTCTACGGAACCAATCGCCGATTTAAAGAACTCGTCCGATTTTGTCGACTAAGATTTGCTTGTTAGCCTAACATCGTTACATTTGATTTATGCAGTCGACTCCGTTTTAAAGTCGATTAGGGGTCGGCCCTTGCCTCTTGTGAATGGGTTAAATTCACATTAGTCATGTTTTCACTCTTGCTTTAACTTGTGTTTATTGCATATATTTGGGTGTCATGAAGGTTGTTTTATTTCGTTTTGGGGTTTAATAATAGGACTATTGAAAAGTGATGATAACTCGTTATATTCTTGAGATAGGCTATGGCTGTAATTTTTAAGGAAGCGCGGGGCGTGCGGCCCCTTTTCATTCTATTAAAATGTTACAAATATTAAGTAGGTACGTACCTCATTATTTATTGTCTCTACAGATAACAGATTAATAAATAAAATGAACAAGTCACATTTTACTCACGACTTTGCAAGACACCAATTGCTTTTTCACACCAATTTGCTTACATTTCCACGGTTCCAAATAAAAAATGGCCTATGTATTTTGATCCTGGCAACTCATATCACAGGGCCGGATTTAGGAATAGAGGCGCTACACGTGAAACGCGACATCTGCACCGCCATCGATCATGCTCGCAATTTCCCGGGGCCCAAATCCGGCCTGTGTCGGATCATCCCTGTCCGCTAATGCGTCATGACTCCCCCGATTTGTGGAATATTCAATTTTTATCCCGGCGTGGGGTCGGGCCTTAGTACGCACCTGGAGTGATGGGTTGCAATCACGGGGTTGTTTTGCAATTTTTTTGACTTATACGGTTTGTTTGTTTTGCCCGGTTTTGGCATTGTTTTGTTTTGTAAGTCAGGAACCTCACCTAATATTGCTCTGCTCATACATCTAATGAAGTCTAGTGGTTACAGGACTAGATGTTACTGCTCTGGGTTCAATTTCAAACACAGAGAAAATTAATTGTAAACTTCTTGCTATTTTGATTTAAAAATCGCGGAGTTTAAAGAAAAAAATACCTACACCACTGATCACTTCTTGCTGTTTTATCCTGTCTTCATAACTAAAAATAAGCTAATTAAATGTAATTAAATTACTTAACTTCAGTTACCTACTTGAACACATATCAGCTTAAATACTTGAAATTTTTCGTTGTTTTCAACTAGAAACGAGTTGAAAAGTGTAGTAGTGACTGCATTCTCTCACCGCCCTGAAACGGTTTAACTTGTAGCTACTTTTAAACGTGGTTAGTTAAACTAGCAGTTGAACCTAGGTCGTGTAACCGTTTACCGGCAACCTTTAAACGCCATTCTAACCAAAACAGTCGTTGAAACCAGCTCGTATGCCAACTAGCAATTCAGCGCTGGCCGTTTGCAGCGTAGTGATGTGCCTTGACGATGATCAATTAGTTTATCGAGTCGACACTTATGGAATTTTTGAACCTAGGTTTGTGTTTGAAGGCTACTGTCTGTAAATGAATCCACTTATTACTTTATAGCTACGCGTATTTTGCAACTGTACTTTCGCTTTTAAAGAGTTGTTGATATTTTGTCAATAATATAATGTGCAATAATGCAAAGTATTGTAATGTTTTGGGCTATATGTATTAATCTTTCTTTATTTAATCTTGTCTTTTAATATCTTAATTCAGCAAAGCCTGTCTAGTAGTAAAGGTCAGTCTATTTGTTGTAAAATCTTTCATAGTACAACCAGACAAGATGCTAAAGTGGTCATCTTGGTTAGCCGTTGTCCGTACATGAATTTGTCAATTATCGATACTTTCTTGTCGATACTTTCTTATCGACTCTTAACAGCATTAGTGCGGCCGCATACGCGCGACTACACATCTGAACGATTATAGTTTTCAATTGCGTGCGAATTCAATTCTCCGCCAGCTTTCAATCCGAGCTGCACGGCGCTGAACGATTTTGTAGTCCTGGTTTGTTTGCCATTTGGCGTTTTTGTTAACGACCCCGGTTATATAACGAACTTTAAAAATACAGGTAATATTGTACAAAGTAATGATCTAGTAGAAACGAGAGACCTGAATATCGGTAAAATTTACTGTCTCTCTTTCATTCTCAATGAGATGAAATAATTATTCTTCTTATCATGTTGATAACAAACCTACACAGTGTCAGCCCATAACTCCGCTACAAGAGTGGCGTAGTCAGCAGCATTCATTAAATCCTCCTGCGTGCAGTTGCTCGGGCACTCAGGGCACGACATCATGTGCTTCATCGACTGAGGAACAAAACCGCACCTGCACTGCATACAATAATGTAAATAATTAATATAACTTAAGATTCCTTAGTTATCGCCTTTGTCTTTGACTTCTTACATATAACCAGTACC